TGGGTCCCGTTGTGGTTCTCCTGAATTTTTTGGAAACACTGTTGATTAAAGTGGCTTCAGCCCATTTTCCTCTACGAGGCTTTTGTTCTGAGGTTTGTGCTTGGTGGATCGTTTTTTGGGAAGGTGAAGCATGTTTTGAAGATCATTAGAAGAGGATTGCAGTGATCTTTATATTCGTGACTTCTTCTCGGAAATGATTCTTTCCTTTCAGCTGTCCGTGCTGTTCTGCTAGGTTTCACGTAGGCATCCCTTTTTGTTTTTTTCCTACATGGCCCTGTGGCTGGTTCCTCAGAGACTCCTGTTCTCTGCCTACCCGAGAGTCTCTAGACATGTTCTGACACATTCGCCTTCCTGGGTGCATCGTGGAGCATCTGATGACCTTCTGGTCTTGGGTAGAGGGACGAATACCCCCAGAAGGTTATGGCAAAAGTAGCATATTTTCATAATTCTCTATCCAATGTTAGATGCCTCCAACTTCCATTTTGTTCTCAGCAGTAAGAACCTTTTCCACTATTGTCCAAGCCCTCAATTCTATGATTACGAAGAATTATATTTTGAAACTTCTCCCACTTGTTTCTCTCAGTTGTGAAGCACTGGTAAGGCCACTTATATGAAGAATATGGAGCCTTGCATTACGTGTCCCTTTGTGTTTTCTGTACTTCAGCCTGTGTGTGTGGCACATCATGCAGGAGGCCATGGATCTGCATGCTCACTAATGACGAAGTATCTGAGGCCAGGAGCAATGTCATCTTGCCTGGGCCCATAGACTTGTGTAAGGATACAAATAGACCTGCTCCCCTGCTGGTTCCTATGTAACTATGCATTGTATTATTACTTAATCTAAAAATATATACATATTTTTCTACTTTAAAAAATGCCTATGTTGGCTCTGCTGCTTATTAAGCACATGACCTTGAGTAAGTCAGTTCCCTTACTCATGCCTTGGTTTCCTCATCTGTAAAATGGATTGATGACTCTTTTATGAGGTTGTTTAAGGATAAATGAGTTAGTCATATAAAACTCCTAATCCCTGTTATACATAGCCTATAGTAAGCACTAAAACAAATTATCTGCAGTTTGTAATAATGACAAAATTAATGAAATATCATTTTGTGGGTACAAACCACCAAATACACATTGTTAATTGTATAAAGAAAACTCTTTCTGTTGAGTTCCATTCCACCATTGTTTTTGTTCCTGCAAGTAAAAGTATTCTTGTAAAAACAAGAAGCCTCTAAGCAACTAGTTGCATTGAGTGCACCACTGACTAAATGCAGCCCTTCTCCTACCGTTGGCCTTTCTTTTGCAGTGTTCCCTCAACTTTGGGTTGTTGTTGCCATTGAAAATTTTTTTCTTGTCTTGTACCATAGATATTTTGCTCAGGAACCTCTAACTTTACCCTCTCTTTTGATTATTGTCACAATCCTACAGTTTTAGAGTATCTGCCTTGACAGTCTACTCCTTTCGGTACTGCAGATGGAAAGTTATTGTTCTATACTTTGATAAATATACATTACCCAAAGCATGGGGTCAAATTTCATCTTCAAGACACAGTGGAGGGTATTTCTTGTTATTAATATCAATGCTTAGGGCTGGGGTTGTGGCTCAGTGGTAGAGCACTTGCCTAGCATGTGAGAGGCACTGGGTTTGATTCTCAGTATCACATGTAATAAATGAATAAAATAATGGACCATCAACAACTACAAAAATATTTTTTTAAAAAAAATCAATGCCTGTTTGGAACGATTTCTACATTTGATCATTAAAAACACCCTATGACTGTCTTCTTCCTGTAATGCATGCATTTTTGTTTTAGTTTATTTTTTCAATTTATCCCTATAGATAAATTTATTTTAATTTAAATATTCCGATAGGGTTTTACATAAATGTATATTATTTTTAAAGAGGATAATATATGTTAGAAGTGGAGAAAACCCAATGAGTGGTGTGTTATCTTACAATACTTTAATGATCCTGGGAACACAGGTAATAAGACTGTTGCAAAGTAAGCAAATGTGTTAGAGAGATTTTCAAAATAATTTGAAAGTTATATGTATTACAGATATTGGTGCAGTACAATGGTAAACTAAATGTCACAATTATGAAAAAACACGGTAAATGCTTCCAAGTGATTAATTGTGTGAACCAAGACACATATGTGAACATCTTTTCATATTTGATCAGTTTTATTCCTCATGGCAATAAAGCCAAGTAAATGAAATGCAAAATGTTGACTGCAGTGTAATGGTTGAAATTTTAACATGCATAAAAGAGTCAGGGTAAATTTATAGTCTTATGAAGGCTGTAGGCTGCAAATATTGAATGTGTATTCTTAATGATCTATGGCACCATGGCCAAATACCACAGGGACAGAACTGCAGTCGGTACATGCTGGCTTATTGATTTTCTTTTCTTGGATGTATATAATATTAATCCTGAGACTGATTTCCTATGGCTTGTCTGTTTTGGTTCAGGGCTACAAGTGTGACCATCATGAATCTACTCTTCTCCAGAGAATATATGAAATGACAGCATCCATGTGCAATAGGGAGTCTTAATTAGAGTCGAGTAAATTCTGGTATTATATATTTAAGTGTTTTTTGGTCAAATACATTATTTCAAAATTATCAAATTGCTTTTTAACTTGATTTAGTTGTATATTCTTTTGAATCAAATTAGAGAAGTGCCTGAGTTTCAAGTCCTGTTATTTTTTCAGAATGTCTTAGGTCCCATGAGTGTGTGTGTGCAGGAAGAATGCACTGTGACTGTCTTACCCGCCTGAAGGAATTCTCCTTAGCTAGGCTTTGGAGATTGCTGCACACTTGTCTGCCACTCTCTGTATAACTGATCACATCATATTTCCTTCTATAATATATGTGTATATATATATTTAAAATTTTCTCTTTTAAATCTGGACTCTGGTTTTCTTCTTGCTATTTCTAGGCAGGAAGCAAGGTGGACTTTAACTTACACTGCAGTTGTTAGGGGAAATTGTTTGTCATAGTTTTATGTGATAAAATCTGCTTTTACAAACCAAGCACAAGAAAAAAGCAGACACCTTAATAGATGTCTGCTTTTAAGTATAAATATTAAAAAAAGCAAACCCTTTAGAATATATCACTTTTTGTAAACATGGTTGAAATCAACAGATTTCATCTAAAGAGCTTTAATATATCAAAACCTAACTCAGTGGAAGTTTATAGAAATTAATTAAATTGAACTCCTTTCATAAGCAGGCCATTTTTTACAAGGAAAACATAAACTCTAGATTTTGGTTGAAAGTCTAGGTAGATTTGGAGGAATATGGTGCTGTGGAGTGACCCCAGAATAAAGATTCTATTACCAAAGATTGCTTGGGGCATTCAGACAGTCCAGTGCCCAAGACACAGTTTTTTTTTTTTTTTGTACACTCCAGTATCCTCCCTGTTTGGAATCTCGCCTGCTATACTTGCTCATCTTTTATAGCACAATCTCCATGCGTCCACAAAGATCTCGGGTTACAGAATCTGAGTGATGGGTGTTTTATGCTTTTTTTTACCTGATTACACTTTCACTGCTCATATCTTTGGAATTGCTATCTGGCAATAGTGAGGCATTTAAAGTTTCTTGGTAAATCATGAATATTTCTACAGTAAGTCTAGATTTAGAAGCAAATGAAACTCCTTTCAGGTTACTAAGAATTGCTCCTTATATACTATATAGAACACTTAATTTTGAAATGTCCAAAGCCTACCTAAGGAGAATTCCTTTAGATTTTTATCCTGTCACTTTATAAGGTTGAATTACTGGAAAGCTATGCACTTGGGCCACATTTCAGTAGTCCTCCAAATAGATGCCTTAAAAGAATTATTATTTAATAGTATGCCCTCGCCTTTTATCAGGGGTCAGTTAAAGAGAGAGCTATATGACAACCATTTCTATTAGCTTTCATAAAATTGCAGTTGCATTCTGTGGGTTATGGTAGTTCTTACTTTTAATAAAGATTCATGTGATAAGGACTTAGAGCTTTATCCTGGAATTTCCATCTCTTTTCACACACAGATATCTGTTCCTTTATTGGATACTGAGTACTTTATAGCTAAATAGTTTCCCACTTTGAGGGGCTTTCTAAGAATCACAGAACCAAGTGGATTTTGGCTTGGATATTCTGGTAAAATCCTTACTAATGTTTTTTCTTCACTTTCTTTTTGGTTTGTGTTCTTGTCTCATTGTTACAATGACTCACTTTCGTATCTTTTCTGGAAATGGAAATAGCTGAACTAGACCACTCCTTTCCAAATTCTACTATCAGAATAAGCAGTTCTTAATACTAAGCCATGGTTTAGTTGGAAGTCTCTTCAATCGCTACCTCAGAGAACTCGGTTCAACTCGGAACACGGTTTGCAATTTGCCGCCAAGACTCAGGAGGTAGGAGCTGTCTGCTTCATGTGTCATTGCATAATCCAGAGCTGAGGATGCACATAGAGCCTGGGATTTAAAAAGATGAGAGGCTTGGAGGTCACCCATTCCATCCCTATATTCTAAAGTGACGGCTATTGCAATCACAGATTTCTGCCTTTTAGATTTTTTCTTTGCTTTTTTTTTTTTTTTTTTTTTTTTGACTACAGCTTTGGGACCTTAGTTTCAACATTCATTCCCCATTTCAGGAAGTACTCTCAAGAAGATGTTTTCTAGCATCCTCTTGGCATTATCTAAGTTGTGGGGGGTTATAAAAAGTTCTTTGAATATGCTTTTCAAGACACTGGAGCAATTTACATTTGCTTACAATTCATCTTCAAGGAAAATTGATGCAATATGTATACTTTGATTCACTGACTTAAACAGGGAAAAAATGCCAACCATTTATCCAAATAAAAAGATGACATTTGTTTTGGTTGTTTGAAAATGTTATTATTACTAGAGCATATTATTAATGAGTCAATTTATTTCTCTTAAAATTACATTGTATCATTTTTTAAAAGAAGATGGAGTCATGAAACATTTTTTTTTTTCTACCATAGGATCCTGGTTACTGGGTGAAGATTCATCACTTAGAATACACAGATGGAGGTATCCTGGATCCAGATGATGTCTTGGCAGATGTTGTTGAAGACAAAGATAAGGTAGATGATTCTAAAAATGTTGCTCTTGTTTTCCTCTATGGAGATGCATGTTTGCAAGACATTGAAACCCTTAACAAACTCATGTGTCAATTATTATTAAAAGATACCATCTGTTCAGGTTTAACCTAGGCAGCCCATAAATCACAGTTCTTCATCAGATGTTTGGAAAAACTTTGTCAAGGTTTGGGAGCCTGTTTGTGGTGGCCTAATTAGCAGACACTTCATTCCCAAGAGTTCCTGATACATCTCAATAAATTAGTGTCAGCCACTGAGGTTGTTGGAATTTTCCTTGTGGTTGCTGGCTCTGGAGTTTATTCTTAGCCCTTGCTAAATATTCAGCTTAATGCCTGAGGTCTGAATGTGCTTTGCAGTAGAGAATATCACAGGGAGGAATGCCTCCTGAACTATTGTGACTATTTTTCATAATGTAGCTGGCCACCAATTCTCTTGAGTAATAGTCCTTATTTTCCCCATCCTTGCCAATCCCCTTTTGTGATGGTCATTATTATACAAAATTTATGTATGAAGATTTGAAAAAATAATAATAAAATATTTTGTTATTAAAAAATAGTCCTTGTTTTCATTGCTGAAATTTTAAAAAAAAGGACTAAATTGAATATTTCAGAAAGTTTTGAGCCTGTTCTGCCACCTATGTGGGAATAATTCCATTGCAAATACATAATTTTATTTGTATTTTTCTTGTGGTACTAAACTGAGAAGGGTGTAAAAATAAAATATTCAGTTGCAATATGCTGGATTATTGCTGTTGAAACACACTATTTAAAATTAATTCTGGGTGGGGTTCCTCTTATCAGTGTCTAATGTGTCCTCCAAAATTGAACTGTTTCCAAAATTTCTTCTATTATGTATTTATCCTTAGCATGGTTTGTACTATGCTAATTCATGTTTGTAACATGTTTTTCTGCAGTTTAGAGTTGTGTGTGTGTACACATTTGTGTGTTTTGATCTGGACTAGAATATGAAAGTGTGTGTGTGTGTGTGCATGTGTGATTTATTGAACTCAGTCAAACTTACATTTTTCTTTTTCTGCAAGATATTTTCTGACTCTTCAAATTTATATTCATCTTTGGAACTCAAACTTAGTTTGCTTTGCATGGAAACTACCAATTTTCCAAGAAATGTATCTCCCTAAGTAGCTTGTCAGCAGCCAGAGGACAGGGACAGGGAAACTTTAGTTTCTTTTGTGTTTTTTGTGTTAATAGTGACCAGTGCAGTGTCCTATACAAGTCTGATTCTTCGGGAACACTTACTGAATTAATGTCACTCTCTCCAGGTGACTCTTGCTAGATAATTTTGATGCACTTCCTGTTTATTTAGTTGGTCTCAGTAAAGAAAAATGCATGATTTACTCTCAGGCTCCCAAGGGAGGGCTTTCACTCATTTTTCCCACTTGCACTTTCTGCTTCTTCCCCAGGACTACCCCTTTCCTTTGACATATTCTAGGTCTCTAGGGTTTTTATTAATGAAGGCTCTTCCTGCCTCAGATTTCACTAATGTCAGTGTATTAAAATGAAAAGCTGAAAAATGGCAAATTAAGAAGGGCCAGAAGAAAATATGCCCCCCCCCCAGTCTTTTCCAAGATTCCATTAGAGGAAGGATGATTCCATGAAGAGTGCCCAGAGAAATCATTTGTCCAATAGGACTCTTCCCTCTGCAGCATCCTTTTAACCATCTTGGCAAAGCTTGTTTCCACCATAATCCATTTACTAGATATAGAAACAGATTTATTACATGTAATCTCTTTTAATGGGACTCTACTAACATTACTAAATAAGGTGACACAGTGAGAAAATCAGCTAAAGTCCTAGTAAAGGATTGAAACAATTTGGGTACAGCTTTACATCTTCTCATGTTATTACATTTTTAATGTTTCTCCATGTAGCCTAACTGGTATTATTCTGCAGAGGTGATGATAATTTACACTTTTGATACTGTAAGAAAAAAAAATTGCACTCCCATTTTTTTCTTTTAAAAAAAAGTAAGTGAAAAGGCATTGCTTGATTTATTGCTTTCTGTTTTTCTTCTTTTTTTTTTCACATTTATTCTGCAATGTTAAAATTTCCTTGAGATCCCTACATCTAGTATGCAAAGAAAACTCTGCCAAACCTATTTAAACTTTTTGTTGTTGTTGTTGTTATTGGATTTGTTTGAGCAATAATTGTAAGCTTGCCCAAGATCCTTTGAGTTGGTATTGACCTTTGATAAAATAACAATTTACCTATTATCAAAGTGGCTACCTAATATTCTCTTCTATTTACAATATGAATAAAAAGCAAGCAGAAAGAGTCTTAGATGGATGCCATGATCACTGAGTGAAAGCTGAAATACTTTTGTTCTTAGGGAAGACTCACAGTGAGTGAGTAAGGATGGTAAGGAACTGTTGGTTTCCCAGCTATAAAGAATGGGACAGGGAAAACAAACTTATAATTAGACTGCAGTGTATATTGAGGTCACATAGTACATGAAAAACACATCCAGTGTACTTCAGTATAGACCAAAAAAAAAAAAAAAGAGGTTAAATGATACTCTACATAAAACTAGAGAATGATATAGTTGTGTTTGTTTTCTAAAAAAATAAAATAAATTTCAAAATATTTGGTCTGAAATAATTTGCTTTGATCTTACTTCTATTTTTTCTTTGGATAGAATAGTGCTTGGTGCACAAATACTGTCTCTTTGAGATTTTTTTGTGTTGTTTTTAACATGCTTTCCCATTAGACTCCCACCCAGAAGAAACCAAGTGCTCACCCTGTTACACTATTTAATTATGTTTTGTCAAAATATTATTGAAACAGCTTTGGAATTTTTCACTTTATGATAACTAGTATTCATATAAAATGTTGTGCTAAAACTTAGTAATTATTTAGTTATGACAGTTATTCTCAAGATTCTTCAGCTATATGCATCAGTCTGTTGATTCAAATTCTTTGTGATAAATATCTAAGAATTACAGCATTATACTCATGTCTTTTCTCTAACTGCCAAAGGCAACCAACTTAGTTCACCAAATAACAGCTTAGCATTCTGCAGATCACCACCAAGATGCCATGGAGTAATATTATGGTAGTGTTATTACTCTATTTTCCTGCTAGCGTTTTACTTTAGTTCCTAGGTGTATAGGTTATGAAAGCACATAGAGGAAGTTTGGATGATGTTACAGAAATAAATGCATTTGACACTTCCATATTCTGGTTTACTTTAGAGTGACCCTGCATCAGGAACCATTATTAATCTCATTTTTCATTTCTAGAACAGTCTCAGAAATTATAAGTGACTTACCCAAGATCACACAGGTATTGCATAACAGAACCAGACTCTAGGACCCTGAATTACAATATCCAGACTCTATTTTTCTTCTATGCTGTGCCACATCATGTGTTGGGCATTTATATCAATAACTTCTAAGGAAAGTTCATCAACCATAAATTAGCATGAAGTTTTCTCTTACACAGTCACCACTATTGCTTTTAAAAAAAAAAAAGGTAGGTGATAGACCCAATTATGTGGTGTAAAAAAATTAATTCAGAATTAGTATGTGATACATATTTAATTGAATTAAAATCTCTGCCTAAAGCTTGCATCTCATTATACAGTACAGTAATATGGGAAGATGTCTCTATCTCTGACTAAGCTTTGTCTATCATCAGGGTTGTGTTTGGAGAGATACTAGTGGCTTTTGTGGGCTCCATTTAGGGGAGGTTGATCCCTGAATCATGTGTGGTATCTGGTTCTCAAGTATTATGATTTCAGTTCATCTCTATCTTCTCATCTATACTAGGGCAAGTTTCTACATCTATATTAGCTGCATTTCACTGTATGTAAAATAGATATAATGTTAGTTCTTATAGGGTTAGCATAGAAAGCTGTATAGGTAAACACTATAAAGTTTTAGTATTATGTATGCTTAATGTTAGCTATTATCTTGGTAATACTATGGTAGTGTTATTACTGCAATTTTTACCTATGTGTTTTGATTTAAGCATTAACTTTTTTAATATTAAAAGCTCAAATAAACTATTTTACTATACCTGCTAACAGTTTTCAATAATCCTCTTGAAAATTTGTTTAGAAGGTATTTAATTTTTAAAAAATAATTTTCTAAGAAGGTAGTTGATTACTATAATAGACCTTTTGGATTAGTGTATTAATATTTGAGAAATGAAAATGTCAGTTTGACTTAAGTTACAATGAGAATCCTTTTATCAGGACATGTTATTTGGTAATGTAAGTACCATTCAGGGATCTAATATGGTTTTAAAATAGAGACTGGCTTGCACAATGAATGAACCACTGACCTAAAACCAGACATTCCATTCCCAAGCCCAGGTTGCTTTCCGAGCACACTCTGTTGCCCTCTAGTGGAGGCCAGCTGCCTAGGCACCAGATCATCAGACACTTCCAGAACATGAGGAGTTATTTCTACATCATTTGAAAATGTTATTATATTTTTAATATAACTTACAGAATTAGACATGGATAACAAAACTAGAGTTTTCATAACTTCACCGATGCATTATGAATTCTCTAAGAAAGGTTACAGGAAATTCTTTGCCTTATACAACTTTTAAAAAAATTTCTGTTCACTGGTTGAAAGGTTAATAACTGGTTGTGATGAAGTGTATAAATTTTTCAGTGTGTAGTTGGACAATTTATGATGTATATTGTGCTTTTCTGGGGAAGGGAGTTGCTAAGTTGGACTACTTTTTAAAAGAGTCCTGAATTATTTCTGAGCCTTCATTTTGTCAGTAAAACTTCTATCTTAATGTAGAGCACTCATTTTAAACACACACACACACACACACAAACAAATTAGGATATGGCATTTTTTTTTCTTTCCTGCTAAGATTTTACTTTGGTTCCCAGGTGTGAGTGTTATGAAAGCACATAGAGGAAGTTTGGATAGTTTTTCAGAAATAAATATCCAGAAGCCCCAAAGAGTGAAAAGATTACCTTGGCCAAGAAATACTATTGCAAACTTT